TTTCTAATGCATTCAGTAACTTCACGTTGCACGAGGTACGATCTAAGCCAGCTGCAGAAGTAAACAGAACATCCATTTTTTCAAGCTTAGCTAGCAGAATGCGTGCACAACTCTACCAAACACAGCTTTAAAGCGGTGCCGGTGGTGTAGTGGTAAGCGTGATTACCTCTCACCCCAGCAGGCCTGGGTTCAATCCCAGTCGGCGCCGCCGGGATGTTTTGAGGCATAACATCTCTGATCACGGGAAGTAAAGCCGTTGGTCCCCGGTTCATGAGTTGATGGGTCAATAGGTGTAGGGTCCAGGTGTGGGAGCTGCCTTCCTGGCGTCGGTAGCATAGGTGCTCAGCACGGAAAACAAACCGAAGAAAAAAAAAAAAAAAACACAGCTTGAAGATTTTTGGCATCCACTCGAAATTTCTTGCATACATTTGCCATACAGAACGACGTAAAGCTCAAGAGATTCGTTTGCACGGAGCGGCCAGGAAAGAAGCCATGTTGACATGTATTTATGTAATGCTTGCAGGAAGCAAACAATCTCTAATTTATCTGTGAATCAAGCACCTTAGATTCAACCCGAGCAAGTTAATCCCACGGTAGTTTTCCACATTGCATGTGTCTCCTTTCTTGAACACCGGGAACATAGTAGAGTGTTTCCATAGCGAGGGAAATTTCTGCTGATGAAGCGACAGGTTGAAGAGCAAGGACAGCGGAGCACCTAAGATATCGGACCATTTGTACATCTACGGAAAAAAAAAACATCCGTGTTAACGACGTCGGTTGGCACATCGAGGACGGCTCGCTCCATTTCTGCTTGCGATGGTGAGTTATTCGAGAAGACGCTCAAGAAGTGCCTAGCAAATAGGCTGCAGTTGTCCTCAGTTATCAATGCAATCATTGCCGCGAAATATTTTTGACGGCAGACCAGTTTCCTGTCTCTTAGAATTCACAAACGACCAGAATCCCTTGGAGTGGCTTTGCAGGTTATGTTGAGTACATACCTCTTATAAAGAAGCTTGTTGTAGTTGCGATACTCATGGCTGGAAATTGAAAAAAATAGTTTGGTAAGGGTACATCGAGAGCACTACCCAAGTAACCATCAAGCCCGCTAATCACCCTTTTTGCAATATAAAGCTGATAAAAAGTATGGAAGCCATATATTAATCTTATATTGCAAAAAGGGCGATTACCGGGCTATTTGCGGGCTTGGTGGTTACTTGGGTATCTCGCACTCGTTTCAGGTTTCGGAGAGTAGCGTTAGACCAAGGCGGTTTTCTTTGAGGTAGGCACTTCGGTACTGAAGCACAAACACAGCCGCGCAAAAGGCAATTATAGCGAGCGACTGATGTATCGATATCAAGGTCATTAAGCACGTTCCAGTCGATCCGGGATAAGAAACACCTTAGCAAACCGAAATCGGTCTTCCGAAAATTGAGACGATTGGTAGTCGAGGTTTCATCAAAACGAATTTGAGATCCGTTCGTGATAGATATATCCAAAGCAGGGTGGAAATTATCATGAGGAACGATGACGTCAGGCGCTTCAGCGACGACACAGTCCAGAAGTGCACTTTCGCTTTCAAAACCCAAGTTATAAAAACTAGACTGGAAATTGGGAACAAGGTTTATCTGGCTCAGTCTATAAAAAGCCGTGCCGTCTACAACCAAGCGGCTGGCAGGCGTAGTTGATGTTGCAATCGGATCTGGAAACGCATAATCCTGGCCTGAGGGCGACCAGACAAGCCCAGGCTGATTAAAATCACCAAGCAGAAGAAGCACATCCGTTATATCAGCCAAGGACGATGCAAATAGCATTTTCTCAGCGTCACGGAAACATATGACGTGTTTGTTTGTTTACTTTTCCTTGCTGCTTGCTGCTCTATCCATTCCATTCAATACATTTTTCCAAAACTGCTTGAAAACGCTTTTATAACGCTCCAAACTTCTCAGGTGACTATTGTCGGGAACCTCTTTTACTTAGGCAACGTTTCCATTTCATCTGCGTGTTAACAAGTTGTTTTATTATCGGCAACTCGAAATCAGCCGTATTTGCATGTGCATATATTTCATTTGCAGACAAATCTGGTATAACAGGTTTGCTCAGTCATAAAAATGTAATCAGATTGATTACATTAACAATGTGTTTTGGTCAGGAATTACAGTGAAATTTACGTTTAAAATATGGATGCCGAAAACAGTCAATGGGTGCCGAAGCCATCATTGACCTTAATAGGATATTTTTGTTTATAACAGATTAAACTCTGTTGTGTATACTGGTTATCACATTTTTGAAAATCATTTACATAGGTGACATCTAAGGTTTTTGTCTGCATGTAGAACAGCATTGAGACTAACATCCATCAGTTCAGTTCAGTTCAGTTTAATGAGCATTTTGAGGTTTTAGACCTTTGGCCAATTAGAGGACCATTAGTATCATAACTGTTATACTACTCCTATTTGTGACTTTTCCCATTCAGCATTAAAGTCAGATGGATAATAAATAAATAAATAAATTATTTGATCATAAACGGTTTTGAACTAAATTCATGACCATTATAAGGGTCGTTATGCTCAATTTATCGCATAAATTGCTTCCTTTGTTGATAGCTTTGCACTCACTTGATGAAACATGGGTTTTCTTGAAGCAATCGATAAAAAAAGAGTTTGAGGTTCATAGAGGTACGTAAATAACAGTAGATTTGCCTTTAGGCTAAAAACTATTCTCATGTTTGCATCACAAAAACAAAAAGGAAAAAAAACCTGCTTTTTCCGGACTGTCAACGAAAAACTTTGGTGTGAATTCAATTGTTGAAATTTTACAACATACTCTCTGCATGTCTACAGTAAACTTTAATCATAGGTTTAACACGAACAAATCCTGGCAGATTAAAACAAGTGAGAACAGGGCTCACCCCAAATATGATGGGCTGTGTACGAAGAAAAGTTCGAGCAATGGCCTATGGTAAGAAGGAAGACTGAAACAATGATCTTACAATAAGTATAATTCCTTCTATATTTCAGTTTTTCCTTTCATTAAAATATGAAACAAAAAACGCATTTTTAAACCCCACCAAGATTTTAGTGTCCGGGTTTTTTCGTGTTAAAACTTTACTCTATAATTTACCAAAATTAAACCCAAGTTTCATGAACTGAGTTAAAAATGATAAACTAAAGAGCAGTTTGTTTATACAAATGAGCATGCCAACCCTGGCCATTAGGGTGCAGTTTGATTCATAACCCTAAAATATGAGCCTGTAATGATAATGATCATGACGATGGTCCCACCTTTTACCCCCACAAAGGATTGAGCTGGACGATTTATCTAAGGTAAATAAATATAAGATTTTAACCAGATTAGCAAACAAAATCGAACTGATTACAGTCACAGATATAAATTCCATCTAGAGTTGCTTCACAGCGATATAAATGTGTAAAAGCTTAGGCGTCGATCTCTTATTTCGCTGTTTTGTCTACCTCAAACATTCATTGCACGCGATCAAGAGTTAATGAACAATCAACAAAGCACCCTAATACATTAGCGTATCTGCAATTTGATGATGCTATGATAATTTTCAGCAATGTCAGGAATGCTCACTAACCCTCGACATTGAACCAGAAAACTTGTTACTAACTCAAGGCATTTTCAAAGTTGCATTTTTTGTTATCATCAAATGTTTAATATCCGTAATACGCACGCGAGGCTCAAATCTTTGTAGACTGCTCAATTTTTCAACTACTACCATAATATCAAATATCAATAGCCTGTGCAAAAAAAAAATGGTTGAGATTGATGAAGGTTTAGAGGTCGCGTTAATGGTTTTAAGATTTAATGGGGATTATTAAGGAAGAACTATAAATTTCCCAAATTTTGCTCTAACGTTGATTCAAGATCAAACGCTGAAAATATTTAATATAGGAAATGGATGTAACGTCTGCCTAAATGCCCCTAATTTGTGCCCATACATAAATTCAGCTATCGACTAAATTTTCAATAGCGACCAAAAATATCCATTAGTACCGCCCCAATGTGTTCATCTAGATAAAATTGATAAATAGCAGATATTTAGCGATGGACCCAATCTTAGATCCATAGCTCAACATTAGAGCCATTTTCCCTATGTGACAGCTATAGCAATTGTCAAGAAGTCTGTTTTTGCTATAGCAATTCAAGAAAGATGAAGATGTGAAAAACTAAATGCTGAATATGTGCCAATTTCATCACAACAACGGCAGGCTTGATTATCGTTGTTATAGAAAAAAAAAGTAATTTGCCATAATCTTCATAAACAACAAACTTCAAACCATTTGTGTAGCCTCTAATCTCTTTTTATGGCCATTTTTTGTACAGGCTCGTATTTTGTGGTTATGAATCAAACTGAAGGGTGGCCTATAACATTGAAAATATTTTTTTAATGCAGCACCCTAATGACAATGTCTTAAATCTTCTTGACAGCACTTAAGGAAAATTTCATTATTCAATTTAAGTAAATTAACTTGCAAATGATTATAATCTGAAGATTAAGTTTTCATTTGCTGAAATTTAATGATTCAAGCTGGATTTGAATAGAACTTTAAAAAAACATTTGAAAATCCATCAAGCATTTCCACAGTTATTACTTGAGAGCTTTCTGTGCCAACCATTGCATGCATTTGTCTATCGTGTGGCAAACACAACTATACTCTACTATATGCCCTGGGAAGTCGAGAAAATTTCCAATCCGAAAGATTTTCTAGACCGGACCGGGAATCGAATCCACCGCATCCGACTTGATTATACCCTATTATACAGTGTCTTTTCTGAGACCCCAGTAGATATGTTTGCTTTTACTAATTCATTGGGCTTCTAGCAGTTGTAAACTATTGAGATCTGAACAATATCCTTATGCCTTGGCATGTTCATTTCCTAATTATTAAACAACTATGTACAACCAAAGAGATTACTTATCTCTTCTAAAAATGGAACAGTGACTCTAGTATTGAACAATACATTAATTGAATGTTTACCTTTTTTCCTTCAGCAATGGACTACGGAAACAGCCGTCGCAAGGTCCTGATTTTAGAAGTAAATCATCCTTCCAGTATGACCTCAGTATTTACTTCCCTTTGATATTGTGTTCTTTGAATTTTGCTATCCGACAACGATCTTTGATTTGATACAGTTTCCACTTTTCGTTATGCTTTGATCTCTGCGATGTCACCTTTTAGTTTTCCCTTACGTTTGATTTCAGGAGAAAAATCCAGAGTAAATTTCAATATTGGTTCTTCTCTATTAATATACTCAGATTTCTTTTTTTCGAAAGTCGTTGAACGATACACAAGGAATAGATTTGCAATTCAAACCGGAACACTTAATTCTACGAACTATGCACCGCAGGTTGGTTTTTGGCTGGATTGATGCAATGTTTTGGCACACTGTAATACATATTTCATAACTCTTTTTTCACACTTGGCACCGTTGCAAAACACTATTTTTTTATTCTCAATCCTATGTTGCGACACTCACATACCTCCGAATGGTATGACGAATGTTTTCCGTACTGATTTTGGTGTCTTCTTCTCACGTATATCCAATCATTGTGCCGGGGGTTGACGAAAACTCGGCCGAAACAACTTTCGCACCAGTAGCCCACGGGGGAAAACAAGTACCTCGTGTCTTTCCACACTGTGCCACTTCAGAACAACTATTTCCAGTTTTTTGTGACTCCCCCGGTGCGATTATGCAAAAGAACAATTGTTTACTTGGCTTTGGTTTTGTTTGTTCCCGCTGCTGCTGTTGCTGCTGGTTTTACCACTTTTGGAGTACTCGTCGAATGCCTCCTAGGAGAAGAACAACTTTCTCAAACATCCATTAAAGTTTAGAACTTTTTTCTGTCCTCTTATGCACGATCCTGGTTTATGAGCACAGACATACACTCGATGCGGACGACGACGTGGTTATAACGTTCTTCCTGCATCCATACTCACACCGGAGTGCTGGCAAGAACAACTTTAAGATATGTGGGAGTTATCTCTCAGATGTAGGAGCACTTTCTCACCCGGCGGCTTTGAGCACCCAAATTCTTCGAAGGAATTTTCACGTCCATTCGCCTCGACACTCGACAGTTGACTGGGATCTGCGAAAATTTCAATCAACCTGATAAGTTCCCTTGAGGCATCATTTTCAGTTGGGATGCTGCACGTACCCATACAAAAACAAATTGAGATCCTATACAACCGGTCCCTGCATCCTGTGAGATCTTTGTTCTCTTGCTCTACATGGCATTACTCTCGCTCTCACATCCCCATCCAAAAATGCCATGCGCAGATCAAAAAGGAGACATCTTCTACGCGACAATACATCATCATTCGTCATCCCCGCTGTGAATGATGTTACATCATTTCCTTCGGATAGCAAAACTCGGCGATTATGAGTGCCAAAAAATAGTCCCATGGGTCGCCGGTTCAAGCTGCTGGTGGGCGAAGGAGCTAAGCTGCCTGGCTAGAGATGCAAGGAGAAGAAGGCAGATTTGTCGATCAATGGCCGTGTTGTTGTCTTCGGTTGGTGACGCGATGCGAGGTCGATGCGGAAAATGTTATGAAATATTAATTGAATTGAGCTAATATTTTACGCACGTTGTACCTCATTAAACTTTGCTACCGTTGGGGATGGTTTAAAGTGGTTCAAAATTGCTAATAACGACCTAATTGAATAATGAATTTCGAATAAAGTTTATGCTTCCAGGATGTAAGGTAAATGTTTGCGAGTTTGCAATCGGTTCAGAGGAAATTGTCGATAGAATTTTAGCTTAGGGTAGATTTTACTTTGAAATTGTGCATGTTAAACAAACAGCGGCGAAGTGAGGGTTTGATACGCCCTTGGATTAATCATGAAAATGATGCCCCTGCCCCAATTGATTTAATCAAGCACCATGTTTCTAAATATATGGGGGAAATTATTGTTACTTCACATATGGGTCATTCCAGGTCAAGTGGGTACAGAATTTAAAAAAGTTCTGGTCGATGTCACCGATTTGAGCCAAACTTGGCCAAAACGTTTATTTTGGCATTCTGAACAAACGCCTTTTTTGATTTGGCTCTGAAGTGCCTAGATCCCTCTCGGGTACAACCCTGGATTTTCGAGACTTTTAAAAATTTAATCTTTCAGAAGAGATTACTCCACAACCAAATAAGCTATTCGTGATCTTAGAACGTCAATTTGAAATTTTTTTTAATGTAGATTCTTATAGGTGTACTCACATTTTCTTTTTGTTATAGTAACAACAATAAACAGACTGATTACCGGCAGGTATAAAAAATGGTCAAAATGTTTCCTATTTCCACCAGGGGCGATATTTATTTCTTAATATTTTGGGCTCAAATTTTAAAAATAAAGGTTCAACGTTTATTTTTCTTTATAACTATACTAAAAAAAGCATTCTTGCTCGTGAGATTGTATCTAATAAAATAAATAAAGGGTATTATTCAAGCGACAGCTATCACCTACAACTGAAATTTTATATATGTACCTGCTAATCCATCTGATTTCATCGTACTTCTAAAGCACAACGTTTTAGCTGTATCTTATAGGAACGTATTTTTCAGAAGTAAATAATTTATATAGTTATGATTTCATATAGTGAAAATCCTTTCAAGAGCATGAAAAAAACATAAAAAATATTATTTTTCCATGAAGGAATTCAAGAAAAAATAACAAATAATAAATAGCATTGATTTTCCACGAAAAAAGCTCAATACCTTTTGGCAAATTCCTATTGCTGATTATTCATAAAACGTATAAGTCAGCTAATAAGCAGACGTCTTGCAAAAAGTGTGTGTCAAATGAAGTGTATAAGCGGTCACACATACTTTTTATGCATGCTTATAGGACCTATGTGGTTTGTCTTATGGAATGTATAAGGCTGATGTTTTGGCAAAAATTTATAAGTGAAACACATGAATAAAATAATTGATTTTCGTTTCGTGTACCACTCACTCATCTGGTCATATCTCAAAAACTATTTGTCCAAATCATTTGCCCTTGGAAACATTTTTTTTACATTTTTAATACCTGCCGGTAATTAGTCTGTTTACTGTAGTTACTTTAACAAAAAGAAAATGTGAGTACACCTATAAGAATCTACATTAAAAAAAATTTCAAATTGACGTTCTAAGATCACGAATAGCTTATTTGGTTGTGGAGCAATCTCTTCTGAAAGTTGAAATTTTTAAAAATCTCGAAAATCCAGGGTTGTACCCGAGAGGGATCTAGGCACATCAGAGCGTTTTGGCCAAGTTTGGCTCAAATCGGTGACATCGACCACAACTTTTATAAATTCTGTTCCCACTTGAGCTGGAATGAACCATATGGGATTGTCAAGTTTACACAGCAAAAAAATAATTTTGATATCACGTCAAAGTGGATGCACTACAATCATGTCGAAAATATGGTGTAATATTACTTGTTAAAAAGGACAAAATTATCATTAATACAATGCATGAACTGACATTACGCTGCTTTTACTGCATTTGTTTATTTATGTGGTCATAAAAATTACATGAAATTTTCGACATGATTGTAGTGCATCCACTTTGATGTGATATCAAAATTATTTTTTTGCTGTGTAGCATCTTCGAGCTATTGCCTGCTTTCAACATAGTTTTCTTCAAGCATTTTCACATTCATCAATTGTACCACAGTGTTGCGAACTTTCCACCAGAAATTTTCAGTTAAATGTGCACCTCCAAATTTTTATTCATTTTGATTAGTCCCTCCATGCACCACCTTGATGATAGCTGAGCCGTCTCGAATGATTTTAGTTCTCCTCTACCAGAGGAACAGTTTAAAGAGACGTTAATAGACGGAAGCACCTTGATGATATTTTTACAACAGAAATATTCAATAAAAAAAAACTTTTTCACTGATTTACCACAACGAAGGTATTTTTTTCAATCTTAAATTAACCCTCTTCTTTTAACCCTCCATAAATACCCTTCAAAAAAAAAAATTACACCAGAAATTTTTTGACCAACAAAGTTCATTGAGGTTTGTCCCTTCATGCACCTTTGTGGTGCAATTTTCAGGCACCATCTCAAAGGATTTGACGCTATAAAAGGTTTTCAGTGCCCTTATATTATGAAATAAAGTTATTTTACCTTCGAATCAAGTTATCAAGAAATCAAGTTATTTTATATTATAATTTTGTAAATGTGGAAATAAAAATCTTACACTTAGGTCTTTTTTTACACGGGGGATACGTACCGTGTAAAAAAAAACCTACGAGATTTTGATTTTTCGTATGCTTAAATGTTTTTAAAAAATCGGATTTTGATGCCATTTGTAATTAAAGCATGATATGGTCCATGCAGACATATTTTAAAAATTTCTGTATTTACACCAAAAATTGTGATTTTTTTCTAAGTATGCCATTCGATTACCTATAGCTTGAAACGGATAATGTTATTGGAATCAAGTCGATAGGTTGTATCGTTGTCGAGAAATCGATAAAAACGTACCGTGTAAATCGTGGAAAACCGTGTAAAAATAACCGTGTAAAAAATGACTTCAGTGTTTTTACAAAGGGGGGGGGGGGGCAATTGCCCCCACCTTGCCCCATCCTGTGCATGCCAGTGATATTTGGCCAATTCATCACTTCAGTAGACCATTTTCAAATTATACTATAATGTAGTCATAAGGAACTCATATGTTGACCTATGTCACAGAATATGGAAATTGCATTGCGTTGTTATACAAACCCTGGTTTTGAAGGGTACCCGAACAATACCAGTTTAAAAAAGTGGTTGCAAAACACAAGGTCGGATTTATCATCAGTACTAAGAACAACGCAGAACTGTCAACTATCAACCATATTGGACACGGGAACGTGCAGAGAAGAAGATTTTCTACCACGGTTTGATGCGGTTTTTGCACTAATGCGAGTCGAAGTATTTAGCCTGATAGAAGAAAACTGGGAATTGGAGTCGATTGCCAGAAATGATCGACCCATTTTATCTCGTTCCTCTCGAGCGCTAACGACCAACTGAGATTGGGGATATCTATAATGATGATGACGACAATGACGATGATAGAAACGATGAACCAACAACAGTAGAAAACTAGCCCGGTAGTGGAAAGGTGGTACAAGATGAAAAAATAGCAGATTTATTTTTGGATCGGGGTTTTCCATCTTTACCTTTTCCATTTTCCGCATGGGTTGACGATGGTGTTGAGGGGAGTACGAAGTAGATAGAAAACCAAAAAGCTTGAAACCATTCCCGATCCCTGTATCATGACAATGGGTTTTAAAGCATCCGAATGTGGATCTTTGGAATTGGAATACGAAATTAGGGCAAACAAAAGCGCCCGGAGCACTTGGAGAATTACAGTAAACGCTTCATAATGGGATTAGTATAATTCGGTTATCGTGGTTTGAGAGATGAAAGAATATTACTAATTTTGATGAATACATAATACCCCGTTCACATTATAGCCTATATCACGTAATATAGGCTGTCTTGCAATGAGCACTCATACATAGGATTTCCAGTGAAAACTAGATGTATGAGTGCTCATTGTAATGTGAACGGGGTATAACACAGCAAAAAATTAATTTTGATATCACATCAAAGTGGATGCACTTCAATCGTGTCTAAAATATGGTGTAATATAACTTGCCAAAAAAGAGAAAGTTATCATAAATACAGTGCACGGACTGACATTACGCTGCTTGTACTGTATTTGTGTATTTTTGGACCATAAAAATTACATGAGATTTTCGTTTGGATTTTCGACATGATTGAAGTGCATCCTCTTGGATGTAATATTAAATTTTATTTTTTGTTGTGTACGAATCGCTTTGAAAACTAAACGAACCTAACCACTTTTCGAAAGGTTAAGTAAAATGGGATTGTTGGTGAATTTTGAGAGCAAGACTTTGTTACTTTTTATCTAACCCCTACACAGTCGGTTGACGCATAGTTGCCACATGTACAATGAAGTTTCATATACACATGGGACAACTATGGCTTCCACTGGCAGTACAGAAAATAGTAAGATTCGCTTACGGGTCTGTAAAATTCATCAATGGGGGAGGGAGATAATTTTGAAACAG